TTTCGAAGAGCTCGCCAAACAACCTGCTGGTTAGCTATGTCATCTCAGTACTGAAAATCGGGTTCAGTGTCCCGTCCTAAGGAAAACACTTTTCAAAAATATTACCTTGAAGCTCATAGTAAAAGGTTTTCCATAATCTAGCTTATAGTCTCCTAGACTATCTGCTAAGTAACGGACGCTACCGGATTCAACTAGAAACCGGGTCCATCGTCCCATTCCGAGTCCTATTGTGAGAAAAATTAGAAACTTTCTTTTGACAGATTAATCTCAGAGTCATGTCTTCTGAGTGGTCTCATGTGACCACTAATCCTTGTGTTTTCCTGRAAGCAGCCAATCAACAATCCTTAACCCTCCTTTAGAGGAAATCGATGTAAAAGAATCCTTTATCCCCCACGATTTAAAAAACCACGAGTATTTATGTCAACTTCTTCACTGAGCGCCAATCAGGGAGGATAACCAATCTTATCTTTTCCTTGGCCTTGCAATTTGTTGGTTGGGGGGAACAGTTTCTTCCATGAACACCTTGGCGTTTCTGTTTTTGCAGATACTATTAATTACTACCCCTTTGCATTCCGGCGCCACTGCACATACCCCTTTCCCTGCTGTAGATTTGTGTCAGACTTTGTCAGGCTATACAAAATTCATCCCTCGTCCCAAGGTCATTCTGGTCCTACAATGCTCGACCACTTGGAGATCCACCACTGCCATATTTTCTCTGAGAGGGGGCAATATGCCCATATGTGTGCCAAAGATTCCCAAACCCAATCGCATCGTTTGCATATAGTTTCCAGCAACATGCCCCTGGATTCCAACCATGTGGCAGAGGCCGTAACCTGCAATGACTGCATCCATAGAGTCCCCGCCTGCTTTTGACGAAATTTTCTTCAACGTCTGCCAGAGCTGCCGAATGACCTTGGGGCGGTCACATCTGTTCGCCTTATATTTCTTTGAATTGCCAGCTGATTTGCTTGCCTTTTATTTTCTGTCTCTGAAAGCACACCCCTACTTTGGTGCTATACTGGACTAGAGGGGTGATAGTCTTCCCCTCATCTGTCGACCAACCAAATAACAACGGCTTCACCCGTGTGTTATTCATTGCATTCCGAAAGATGATTAGGTTTGGAGCGTCAGACTTACATCTGCCCCAAACTCTGGTTTCCTCAAGTCCTACCGTCGTAGGTACAACTTCGTCATCAGATGGGAACAACACCAAATCCCTCTCCCTCGTTTTCCTCGTTCGCTGAGTTTCCAATTTCATCCCCCCTTCCAACTCTGGACCTATCACTTCCCACTCTATTCTCCTTGTCCGAGATGAAGACCCATGTACCATATGCATGTTCCGAAACAATTCAGCCGTGTTTTCAAAGAATCTGAAATCGCCTCCACTGAAGCCATGTAGTTGACCTCTACATCGCAAAGTCTAGCAAGCTTAATCCTTAATTCCGGAGGGGATATCCACTCTGCTATATCTAAGTCCCAAATGTCACTTATCTTTATAACTCCTTTCTCCATCCACTATTTTTTCCAAAGTTACCTTTATCCGTAGAGGCTGAAAAGGTCGAGCCATCTAAATGGTGGATGTAAGGGTTATCAAACAAATATTGATTTAAGACCTCTCTTTGAGAAGTGGGTTCCTTGAGAAGGGTAGGTAGAACTTGTTTCCAGGCTTTAAGGATGGCTGCCCAAGTCCTGGACTTGGGTCTCCTGTTCACAAACGAGGGTGAGAGTACACAACGCCACACATCCTCTTCTTCAACCACGGACCATTTCTGGCCCATCATATATTATGCAAATCTCAGCCAGTACTTGTCCCGCCTTACTTCCAACAGCGCCTTGATTATCCATTTCCCTAGTAGAGCCACATTTTGTTGGTGGGGGTCTAAAATCCCCAACCCCCCTTCCGCTCTTGCCGTTGCAATGGACTCCCAGTCAACTTTAGAGATAAAGCCTTGAATTTTCGTTGCCTTAGGTTTCCACATATAGCGGGCTGCGACCCTCGTACAGGCAACATCCCCAAGATAGTGGACTGACAGAGGAAACCACAACAGTGCAAAGCCAACTGAGGACAAAACCAAACCACGACCAAAGATTGATAACTTATGCGTGCGAATCCAGTTCGTGATGCAGACCGTCACCTTCTCTTCCAAGAGGGTATCTTGAGCTCCTGCACAGTTCGACAATGACACTTGGACACCCAAAAAACGCTCAGAATTGTCTGTAGGGACTCGGCGCAGACCCCAATCAACACACAAGTCATACTGGGGTGGTAGGAAGAACACAGATTTCCCCCAATTGATAGAAGCTTCTGAAAGTTCACAGTACTGATCTAAGACTGATCTAAGCTCAACCAAAGACCCTACTGTATTTTCACAGGCTACAGTTAGATCGTCCGCAATGGCGCCTCCCTTCCAGTGGAGGACCTGGAGGTTCTGGGATATTTGAAGCCCTATTATATAGGGATTTTTCCTAATATTATTCAGAGGGACCTCCATTTGAAGGACAAATAGGAGGGGGCCCAAAGGACAGCCCTGGCGCAGAGAACTTGTGAGAGGGAAGTCCTCAAATAGAAGAGGAGGCCTGGCTGTACATAGTTTTAACCAAGCCCCTGAAACGACACAGGCCGGTGCTGGGACTTTTGCTCTGTGACCCAGGGGGAGCTTGAGGTCTGTGGAGTTATGCCGAGGGTGGAAGGCATAACCAGACCGTTCGACGTAGTCGGTGCCGGGGTATTAACCCTGTAACCTGTGTCAGGGGCTTGCCACTAAGGGAAAAGTCGAGGGAGGAAGGCACTTCCTGTCCGTCAGAACTAGGTTAGTCAGTACTGGGGAAGGTTGTGGTGCCCTGTTACCCTAGCAGAAGTGGGTATGAAATCAAGTGATTTCTGGTACGAGGACTGAAAACCTGGACCGACGTTCCGTCTGTTGAGGGGGGGAGTTTTAGATAGTAGGCGTTTCAGTTTTGACCCCCCCGTTCTCATGTTCTCCAAGCTTTTTCAGATTTTTTCTGAATTTTAGCCTATTTTATGAGGAAAGTTCTGAGAATGCTTTAGGATTCTGGGCACTTCTTGCAACTCATTTTAGGTTTTTCTAATGCTGTTATATTCATGGATCTGCGTTTTTTCGATGCCAGAACGATGCTGGCCGGAGCTGGGGGGTTACCCTGTAGCCTGTTGATAGCAGGAGCGAGAGGCCTGGTAGAGAGATCTGGGGATGCCTTGGGCCGGACATTCTGAGGGAAAACCAAGGTTTGCTGTCGGTACGACGTTGGCCGGAGCTGGGGTGAGTTGTGTTGCCCTGTAACCTAGCAGGATGGGGCATGAGGCCTGGGAAAGTTCTGCAGGGAATAAGACAGTGTTAGAAAATTTTAGAATGTTTTGTTGGGGATTCCAGGGGTTCGGAGCATTCAATGGGCTTCTGCGGCTTGCCGTTTTGACTTAGTAAAAAAAAAAAAGCTGGACTGAAGCCCAACTTTGATAAGGTGGTGGCTACAAAGGCCCAACCTACCTTATCATATGCTTTTTCCATATCTAGCAGAAGCACTGCTACTTCTCTCTTCTCACTTCCTTTTTTTCCGAAATTGCACGTTTATTAACAGGGCCCAGTGCCCAAGGCAATTACATGATCAAGATAGGCAAAAACAGGGACGACAGGTTGTCCTGCCCCACCAGGAGCCCGGAGCCCCATCCCTGCATTATGCTGCATACACAATATTCGCACTCTTAACCCTAACATGGCACCAGCCCTGCTACGAAAACAGTCTCGACTACAAAAAATCCCTATTCCCACCTACCCATGTGCACACTCTTTACCCAAGCACGACATCAACCCTACCACAGAAACAATCTGTATTCCCACCAACAACCAACCCACGTACAACTCCTACACACACGAAGTAAAAACTCACAATTCCAAGTAACAGGAATTCCCGCAGCCTGTCCGGGAAATCAAAGAACTCCCCCCCACAACTCCCAAGATGGGCATCCAAGTATTTCCACGCATCAACCCTACCACGAAAACAATCTGTATTCCCACGAACAACCAACCCACTTACAACTCCTATACACACGAAGCAAAAACTCGCAATTCCAAGTAACAGGAATTCCCGCAGCCTGTCCGGGAAATCGAAGAACTCCCCACACAACACCCAACACGGGCATCCAAGTATTTCCACAGCAGTACCCCACCGTGAACCAGACGCCGGCGA